ATATATATATATATATATATACACACACACACACACATATACATATTAGATATTTCTACTTATCTAACTGGGGACAGTGGATAGCTTTGAGAACAATTTATCTCATTTATAAACAAAATTAAGTTGTTTTTTTTTTTTTGAAGTGATGAGTTTCAGTACTGGCCTTCAAGTTTGTGGGTGGTAGCTAAGCCAAGACTTTGCCAAACTGCTCTTTCATCAGGCTGTCCAAAGGACCACCAGCCCTGCTTCACACAAGTGTTTGGAAAACACAGTTCCTAGGCTGTTGAAGTGGCGCCGAGGGTAAGGGCAGTTAGTTTCCACCAAGCAGGATGGACTGAGTTCTATTCCTGGAACCCTCAAGGTGACAGAAGAGAACCAATTCCACAAACTGTTCCCTGCTCCCGACATGTGCACCCTAGCACATGTGCCCACACAGACAAATGAATAAATAAATGTTAGGAAAGACAACGCAGTTCCAGAGGGGAAAATGCTGTCTGAGAAGGCTAATGCAACCTGGTGCTGGTGTTGGTGGTTTCAGAGACCCCTGAAATTCAGTAAGAAGAACAACAAAGTCTAGAAGACTAGAATCTTGTTTTCAAGATCAAAATGGTAGCGATCTTGCTCTAGTGTTTTCTCAGGTATTCTCACATTTATACATTTCCAGGAATTTTCAAAGTCAATGTCTAGCATTACATTGCTTTTATAAGAACCTTGTGAGAGAGACAGATATTACCCCTCCTGTCTTTCTTCCCCCTCTCTCTATGCTCTCCTCTCCCCTTTTCTGCTCTTAAGCATTATTTTTTGTTTGTTTGCTTTGCTTTGCTTCTGGTTTTTCAGAACAGGGTTTCTCTGTGTAACGGCCTTCCCTGTCCTGGAACTAACTTTGTAGACCAGGCTGGCTTTGAACTCACAGAGATCCGCCTGTCTCTGCCTCCAGAGTTCAGGATTAAATGCATGTCTCACTATGCCTGTCATTTTTCATAACAACTTTGCAACAATGTTTTCTTCATCACATTAGCTACTGCCTGTCACTAACATACCCTTGTTCATGATAGGGTATAAATGTTATCTAAGAACGACTTGAAAAAAATCACATGTGACAATAATAGAGACTTGAAATGACAGATTTTATTAAACACTTTGGGACTATTATGTTACAAATAGTTGTTTGAAAACATTAGACAATGGGGTGTAAGTATAGAAAGAATATCCTGGGGACAGATGCTGACAGAACTCCATCTACAGTACATTCTTGTTTATAGACTTTTCAGAGAAAGGTAAAGTTATTTATTTATTTATTTATTTATTTATTTATTTATTTTGATTTTTTTGAGACAGGGTTTCTCTGTGTAGCCCTGGCTGTTCTGGAACTCACTCTGTAGACCAGGCTAACCTCAAATTCTCGAACTCAGAAATCCGCCTGCCTCTGCCTCCCAAGTGCTGGGATTAAAGGAGTGCGCCACCACTGCCCGGCGAGAGGTAAAGTTATAAAGCGAACAAGCTATAACCTAGTTAGTACAGTAACTACACATTGATCATTACACATTTGTTTCCTCTGAATAGAGCAGGCAAAATTAAGTTAGAGTATATTCTATCCTTGTGACTTGTTAGAAAAAGAAGAAATGGTTTAGATTTCTGGGTAAGAGCAATAGCTAGCAATCCCACAATGATTTTTATTGTTTCTTGCCATCCGAATATATCCTTGATCACCAAAGTGAAGGCCCCAACTATAAAAAGAGAAAAAACACAAAATTATAAAATAATATAATAAAATTATATTTTTTATTTCTTTGCTTCTCCCAAAACATATACATATATATATGTATATACATATATATGTGTGTGTGTTGAATAAATAAGTAAAACAAATTTAATTTCATCTGCATTGGTGATTTGCCTATATGTGTATATCTGTGTCTGATCTCCTGAAACTGGAGTTACAGACAGTTCTAAGTTGCCATGTGGGTACTGGGAATTGAGCCTAGGCCCTCTGGAAGGACAGCCAGTGCTCTCCAGCATATATATATATGTGTGTGTGTGTGTGTGTGTGTGTGTGTGTGTGTATGTAATAAGTATATGTAATATATATATGTCTTACATAATATATAAGTGTCATATATATATACAGGGTCTGACTATGTAGCCCTGGCTGGCCTGGAACCTGGTATGCTGGTATGTGGACCAGGCTGGGTCACAGAGATCCAACTGCCTCTGTCTTCTGAGAGATGGAATTAAAATGTGAAATGTGTGTTATCGTTTCAGTCTTCTTTTTAGCTTTTTCTTTTGTTTCTTGTTTTTCGTTTTGTTTAGACAAGATCTCTCTATGTCACCCAGTCTGGCTGCAAGCTCAGTGAGTCTCCAGCCTTGACTTTCCAGGCCTCGGATTACAGGGGTGATCCAACACACACACTAGTTCCATATTGTTGAACATATTTATATTTAAGGCCAATAATATAAGATCCATCTGTGCTTTCTAGGCATGCCTTCTTCAAGGAATGAGTATATTATTTATAATGCTCCATCTCTAAATGTTTTTGCACAATAGGGTCATAGGTAATGAAATTTTTTTTTTATTAGATAAGAGTCGCATGAAGCTCAGGCTAGCCCTAAACTTACCATATAGCTGAGACCGACCTTAAACTCTTAATTCTTCTGATTCCACTGCCTACAGGTTTTGTGTGCCACAAAGTCTGGCTTAAGGGTAATGACTTTCCAGCATACACATTTCTTGAGAAACACCTTTTTTCTTTTTTTTTCTTTTGTTTTTTGAGATGGTTTCAGGGCTTCTCTGTGTAGCCCTGGCTGTCCAAGTACTTGTTCCATAGACCAGGCTGGCCTCAAACTCAGAGATCTGCCTTCCTCTGCCTCCTGGATATTGAAGGCATGCATCACTACCATCTGGCTTCTAGAAATGTTTGTCAAGAAGTACTTTTGAGCTGGGTGGTGGTGGCGCATGCCTTTAATCCCAGCATTTGGGAGGCAGAGGCAGGCAGATTTCTGAGTTCGAGGCCAGCCTGGTCTACAGAGTGAGTTCCAGGACAGCCAGGGCTACACAGAGAAACCCTGTCTCGAAAAACCAAAAAAAAAAAAAAAAAAAAGAAGTACTTTTAAGTAACTACTATGAAAGTGTTACACAGCAATTAGTTCTGAAGTAAATGATAAATAATACGGTTGTAAATTATCCAGATGAGACTTTCTCCTATTTAAAGCTATCGAAAAGTAGAATGTTCTACTGTGTGGAAATGAGCTGCCTGGGACTAAAAATGTTCTAGCTTGTCATGTTAGCTGGGGTCTGTGTAGTCAGGACACAGCCATATAGCTGGGCACACAGCATCACATGCTTAAAATCCTAATGCCATGGAGACAGAAACTGGAGCGCCAGGAGCTTTTGCTCCTCTGTGGCTACATAATGAACTTGAGGCCAGCCTGGGCTACATGAAAGCCTATAGGAAAGAAAGAAAGAAAGAAAGAAAGAAAGAAAGAAAGAAAGAAAGAAGGAAAGAAAGAAAGAAAGAAAGGAAGAGAGAGAGAGAGAAAGAAAGAGAGAGAGAAAGAAAAAACCGGGTGCATGAGGAAAAAAAACTAAACAAAACAAAAAAGAAGCCCAATGAAAAAATGACAAAAGTCTAACACATGTCACATATGTCCACACCAAGGAGGTCGCTGCTGTAGTGGCTTAAGAGTAAATCAATGTTTGAAGTGTTCTCAGCTGCTTTCCCAACAGACCACACATCAATGCCATCTGTTCGCTCCCACAGGGAATCTGAAGGCATCCATCCACCTTGACTTACAGAGCGTGCGTTCCCAGGAAGCCCTGAGTATTCAGGGTTGGACTGTGGTCTGCCCAAAGTTCACGCTGGAATTCTACTCCCAGGACCTCAAACTGTGACTTTATTTGGAAGTAGGGGCACTGTAGATGTCATTAATTAGATTAAGGTGAAATCATTAGGTCAGCCTTAATCCAAAGGACTGAAGTCAGCACAGTGCTCCCCCCCCCCCACACACACACACACAGACCATGTGAGGACTGAGTGTACGTGAGAGGGCTCACAAGCCTCAAACGCTGGGGAGGTGCTCAATTCTTTCCTTTTGTCTGACTGTCTTTTCATTTTGTGTGTGTGTGTCTGTGTGTGTGTATGTACCAAAGGCTGGTCTTGAACTCCTGACCCTCCTGCCTCCACTGTCCAATGCCAGGATTACAGCCATGCACTACACTGGACTCTCTTTATTGCCATCAATTTATTATTATTATTATTATTATTATTATTATTATTATTATTATATTTTTGAGACAGGGTTTCTCTGTAGAGCCCCGGCTGTCCTAGGGCTCCCTCGGTAGACTAGGCTGGCTTAGATCTCACAGAGATCCAATTGTCTCCACCTCTATAGTGTTGGAATTAAAGGTGTTCAACACCACTACCTGGCAAAAACATTTTTTTAAAGATGTGTTTTTATTTTATATGTATGAGTGTATTGCCTGTCTCTGTGTCTGTGCATCATGTGTGTACAGTGCCTTTGGCAGCCAGAAGAGGATGCTGGGTCCCCCTGAAACTGGGTGTAAGCCACCAAGTCTTCTTCTTCTTTTTTTTTTTTAACTTAAATATATTTAATTAAAAATTATCATGCTGAGCAGTGATGGCACATACATTTAACCCCACTACTGGGAGGCAGAGGCAGGCGGATTTCTGAGTTGGAAGCCAGCCTGGTCTACCGAGTGAGTTCCAGGACAGCCAGGGATACACAGAAAAACCCTGTATTGAAACAAAACAACAACTAGAAATTATCATATATATCCAAGTGCATATGGTGCATGTGTATGACACAGTCTGAGGCAAAGAAACAGAAGCAGTAAATAAGACGTGGCTGTCATGTGACAGAACTCTAGAACTCTCTTAGAGCTGACAGTGGACACTTTGGTCAGCATCTCCTCTGCCCCCATCCTGGCTGCTAGCCGCTACCATACCTTTCTACTCCTGTGCGTGTGACTTTCTCAGATCCACGTCTATAAGGAGTTACTTCCTCATAATCCTCAAAAGTAGCTAAACTCACAGTATGTTCATCTCTATCTTCTAACCTCTAGAACCAGAAGACGTAAACTTTTGTCGTTTTGACGGCTCAGTGTTAAGATCACATACTGTCCTTATAGAGGACCCAAGTTTGAGTTCTAGCACCCATGTTAGGAGACTCACAACCACCTGTAATCTAGCTTCAGGGGATCTGACACCTCTGGCCACTTTAGTCCCCTACACTCTTGTGCACATATCTACACACATACATATAATTAAAAATAAAATATATGTTTAAAAATATTTCTCATTCAGCCAGCTACTGGTACTGCTCATCTTTAAAAAACAGAAAAGGGGGAATTGTGCCCTTCCCACCTCGAGCAGGGTTTTTCCAGCCTTGAGCAGGCTGAATAGTCCTTGAGCACTTGCCACAAAGGACCTTAAGACCGAGGTGGAGTCATCTGTCTTGGCTGCAGGTACAACTTCCTACAGGAACTCAGAAGAAAAGACTGCCCACTGTCTTGCTTTGCAACATAATCCAGCTGAAACACAGGCTGGGTTCGGTGGGCTTCCCCTATATAAACATAGTGCTGAATATTAAACTTGGAGCCCTGATCAGAAAAAAAATATTTTTCAAAAGATGTGTGTCTAGTTGTGTGCGCCTGTGTAAGTTAATGCACATGAGGATGCCTGCAGAGTCTTGAAAGAGCACAAAGGGCTCTTCACTTCACTCTCTGGCCTCTTCCTCACCCTTTCTCTCTAAAAGCTGTACTCACTTTGGTTATGAATTCTACAGAGGTCAGTTCAGTGGATTATTGAAGGGCCACTGTGTGCTAGAACGGTTACCCGCCAAGACTTGTTCTACTTAGTCACACCGGCTAGGGAGCAGCATGAAAGATTTAAGAGTAAAAGAGGTTGGGGCTGATAAGATGGGCCAGCCAGAGTGGTGGTTTGAAGGAGCCATTCCTCTCCCTCATATTCTCTGGCATCTGAATAAGCACTCCCCAGTTGATGGCCCTGTTTGGGCAGGCCTGGGAGGCGTGGCCTTGCTGAAGGGAGTGTGTCACAGAGGACTGGTTTTGAGAGCTTAAAGATGTGCTCTATTTTGAGTTTGCTCTCATTGCTTCTTGCACACAGTTCCAGATGTGAGCTCTCAGCTGCTCCTGCTGCTGTGCATGCTGCCTGCTGCAGGCTGTGCACAGCTGCCTGCTGTGATGCTGATGGAGTCTTATCCCTGAGAACCATACGCTCCAAATAAACCCTTTGTTCTTCAAGTTGTCTTGTCATGGTGATTTAGCACAGCAATCAAGGAGGTGAAAGCCTGGCGACCTGGGCCCAATCCCCCCAAATCCAGATATATATACTCATACCCACCCCATACACACCTCCCACACACCATGCACTTTCACATACACAGTAATAAAATAAATAAATACAGTATAAAGAGTAAAAACATCGGTTCTGAGGCTCAGGCAATGGTCTAGGCAAGAGCTGTCTGAAATACAACCAGAACACATAGAAAAGAGGCAGGCTCCAAGACAGCTTTAGATGGAAATTCTTCTTGACTTGTAACTCAACTGTCCCTGGAAGAGGTCTAGGAGGCTGGTCTACTATACTGAGCCCTCAATGCCATACTAGCTGTTGGGTAAAAATGTTATGTGATATGATATACAGATATGGAAAATTCTCTAAGGAACAGTATGGTAGAGGGAGTACTGAATTCTTTGGCTACACTGAGTTTGGAGAAAGTAAATTGTCAGAGTGACTATGACCAGGTGAGCGTGAAGTTGTGGACCAATGCTACAGGTAGCAGAAGATATCTGAAGGCCTCCATCTTACAGGTTATGGTAAAATCATGACTAGAATGATGTAGAAAAAAATCAGAAGTAATCATTTAGGTCCCTGGGGCAGTAAGGAATACTAACGATCTGGGTCTCGCTATAGGAACAGCTTTCCTAAGAGGGCCTGAAAGGGCTGCGGGTGTGGTTCAGAGGAAGAGCTCAAGGAACATGTGCATGGCCCAGGGCTTAAGCCCTAACACTGCCAAATGAAACTCACTGCCATGAATGTTCTACAGAGCATAAAAGGAGCAGGCAAGGAATGGTGAGAAATGCAAAGTAATTCCAACACTTGGGAGGCAGAGACAAAGGATGGCTGTAAGTTCAAGACCAGCCTAGGACACATAGTAAGTGCTGGGTGAGCTAGGAGTAATAGCAAGACCCTATCTCACAACATCAATGATATGAAATAAAATAAAAAGAAAGTTATTATAGAAAACAAAGATGAAGATTGATGTCTTAGTCCTATTGCTGTGGAGAGACACCATAACCACAGCGACTCTTATAAAGGAGAACATTTAATTAGGGCTGGCTTACAGCTTCAGACCATCAGTCCATTATCGACATGGCAGCAAGCACAGCAGCAAGCTTAGGGCTGGAGCAATACCTGAGAGCTACATCCTGATCTGCAAGAGGCTAGGGGAAGGTCAGGGAAAGGGGACTGGGCTTGGCTTGGCTTTTCGAAACCTTAAAGCCACCTTTCCTAATCATTTTAATCCTCCTCATATCGTGCCACTCCCTGACGACTAAGCATTCGAATGTATGAGCCTCTGAAGGCCATTCGCATCCAAACCACCATGGTGGGGCAGTGAGTAATTTCCCAAGGGGCTTTCTAAGAAGCTACAAATGCACAACCTTGTTGCTATGGTGACCAGCATCCTAACAGCAAGAGTCTATTTGCTGATGTGCCCTCCGGTCCTGACAATAAAGCCAACACTGATGTGCTAATGTATTACCTGTTTTTCACAAGCCAGTAGTCTTTCCCATCAAGAGTCCCATAGCCAACCACGAGAACACCGTGATTCACGTCCTCAGTACAGGAGGGGTCATCATAGACACCTGAGAATAAAACACAGATGGGAAAAAGGCAAGCGCTACAGGTATTAAAACACACTTGGGGATACGACAAGGTGACTTGGCATGTACTCGTTTCACATCGATACTCTGTCAGTTTCCCTGACAAGTTTGAGATTGACCCATAGATCCCTCTGACATTTATTATATCTACTCGCCACGTTTTCTAATTCTCTTAATTTATGTACAATTGGTTGCATTTTTTTGTATAAATTGTTTTGTCCACGTTGAGCCTTTTCTAAATTAAATGCTCCTTAGTGCATATTGTAGCTTTCTGCTGTACACAATACAGAGTTCTGCATTTAGTGAGCACTGGGGGACTGTGTTACTGAGCTTTGTATGATGGGGTGCATGTACGGTTTTAAGAGTTAACCTTAAAGAAGTATTAAGTGTGCTCCCTTATATCTTCACAAGCCAGGGTCTCACATAACCCACCTAGGCTGGCCCCAAACTTGATACGTTTTCAAAGATGACCTTGAGCTTGTGATCCTCTTGCCTCCACTTCCCAAGGGTTGAGATGACAGGTTTAGGTTTGTACTACCATGCTCAATATCTGTGTTCTGGAGATTGAACCCAGGGCTTCATGTATGGTGGGCAAACATTTTTCCACCTGACCCACATCCCCATTCATATATAGATATATGCATATATATACACACATATATATATCCAAATAGTGTTCCTTGTTGTATATGTGTCTTTTCTTTATCCACTCAGAAGTAGATAGTAGATGGGCACTTAGGTTATGGAAAATGATTCTGCAACGAACTTGAGAGATGTCTTTTCAGTACATTGATTTAATTTCTTTGGGATATATTCCTGGTAGTGGAGTTGCTGGGTCAAGTTATAGTTCTATTTTTTACTTTTTAAGGGGAATTTCTATACCATTTTCCTAAAAGTCTGTACTAATTGATAGTCTTACAATCAGTGTGCAAAGTTTTCCGTGTCTTCAGCATTTAGTTATCACCCATCTTTATGTTTGTCTGAGACCTCGTCTTGCTATGTAGCCCTGGCTGGTTGGGAATTCACTCACTATATACTCAATGAACCAGTAAGCTTTTTGTTGACTCGACGCAAGCCAGATTATTGAGGAAATGCCTTCATCAGATTGGCCTATGGGCATTTTCTTGGTTAATGATTGATGTGGGAGTGGGTGCCACCCTGGGGTAAGTGGTCCTGGGTGGAATAAGAAAGCAAATGGAGCAAAGCAGTAAGCAACAGTCTTCCACGGTCTCAGCCTCAGCTCCTGATTGGCTTCCCTTGATGTAAACTGTCCTGCAAATAAACATTCCTTCCCAAATGGTTTTTGTCTGTGTTTTAACCTAATAAGGACAGCCAGGCTGGCTTCAAATTGAGGTAATCCTCCTGCCTCTGCCTTTCAAGCACTAGAATTACAAACATGTGATAACATGCCTGGTTGCATTGTTGTCTTCTTTCCTTCAAGATTTATTTATTTATTTTATGTATGTGAGTACACTGTCACTGTCTTCAGGCACACCAGAAGTAGGCATCAGATCTCAGTGCAGATGATTGTGAGCCACCATGAGATTACTGGGAATTGAACTCAGGACCTCTGGAAGAACAGTCAGTGCTCTTAACTGATGGACCATCTCTCTAGCCCCTGGCTGTGTTCTTGATACAGGGAGTTAACATTCTGTTTTGTTGGTCTGTTTTAATGGTGATGCCATGTTGTTTGGCTGCTGTAACTCAGGAATGCACTCTTAAGTTAGATACTGTGATGCCTCTTGCTTTGCTCATTTTGTTAAAATGGCTCTGGCTATTGAGGGTTTTCATGGTTTCCTGCACTCTTTAGGATTAGTCTGCCTAGTTTTGTGAGAACAATCTTACTAATATTTGACTCTTCATTCTGTAAACAGAGGATAAAGCTAAGGCTTTCACCTCTATGCGTGTATCACTTTGCTTCTCTCTACAGAACAGAAGAACTCTCTGGATGAATTTATTATTAACCTCTCTCCACAGTTGGAAGCGGAATTGCTTTCTTGATGTTTAGTTTATAAAATGCATTCTTCGTGGTTTTAAAAAACACAAAAACCGAAAACCCGAGTCTTTTTCCCCCTTTGTTTTGTCCTTTTGATGGAGTAGCCTAAGCAGGCATCAACTTTCTCACCCCCTCCCCACCTCCTGCCCCACACCCACCCCAACCCCCGCCCCCGCCCCGGGAATGCTAGCATTATAGACAGGACCACCGCACATACATAACCATCCTGTATGAACTATGGGGCTGGCTACGTGGTTTTCAATCCCATGTTTTCAACCCTTGCCTCACCACTCCAGGCTGAGGACTTTTTTTTTCCCTTTAATATTGGCTTTAGATTTATTTATTTATTTATTTATTTATTTATTTATTTATTTATTTTTATGAGTGGTAGTGTTTTGCCTGGATGTGCAACTCAAGCCTGCCTGGTGCCTGAGGAGGTGGTGAGCCTCCATGTGGGAGCTGGGAGTCAAACCTGGGTCCTCTGTGACAAGTACTCTAACCACTGAGTCACCTCTCCAGACTCAAGGCAGATTAACTTTTCCATGGAGGATTCAAGTGTAATTTAGGGTTACTGTGTGGATGGAACAGAGACTGATACACAAGGAACTTAACGTAGCAATGCTAATAAGTCTTAACCAGTAGGATTCACCAGTTAGAACGAGGTCCAGATGCTCAGTCTATATTAAGCAAATAAAAGGCTGGCGCCTCCTTTTTACCACTTTTGTAGAAGAAGAAGGAGGATTGCCTGGCGTCAATGGCCACAGAGACAGGCCCTTTAGTGGCCACTGTTTCCTTCAGGGCTTCTTCATCCCCAAAGGGGAGCTCAGTGTACCTTGAACACGTGGCAGCTCGATTTTTTGAGTCATAGTGACACTTTTCATCCTACAAAAAAACACCCATAAAGTCTACTTCAACTTCCTGGATTTCAATTATGATACCCCCACCTCCTCAACCCCCCTTACCCCCCCCACTCCCCTACCTCTCCCACCCCCTACCCCCCCCACTCCCCTACCCCACCTACTCCCTACCCCCACTCCCCTACCCCACCCACCCCCTACCCCTACTCCCCTACCCCACCTACTCCCTACCCCCACTCCCCTACCCCCCACCCCCACTTCACCATGGTCACTTCCCCATTTTCAACTGTCTATGACTATGGTCCCCCTACCCTCTGTCTCTCTGTCCCTCCTGTCTTTCTCCTTTTGTTCTGGATTTTTCTGTTTGTAAACACTGACTCAAGCTGGGCATGGTGGCCTGGATTTATAATGGCCAGCTGGAGCTGAGAGACAGCACCCAGGAGACAGCACTGGGGAGGCAGAGGCAGAGGAATCTCTGAGAGTTCAAGGTCAATCTGATCTATATAAGTGATTCCAGGCCACCCACAGTTATATAGTGTAACTGTGTCTCAAAAGCAAAGGATAAAACAAACAAAACCCAGAAGTTACAGATGTATGTTTGTTGAATATATGACTGTGTTTCCTCCTAAAAATAACAGAAATAGAAGCTGAAAGAAATAAAAAAAAGCAATACTGCTTAAGGTAGGTTGTGTTCGAGTGACAGTTATTTAAAGTGTGAGTTTATTGCATTTATTCACGTGAGCGTGGAGGTCAGAGGATGACTTACACAACTTGGTATTTTCCCTGGGATCGATGATTAAACTCAGGTCATCAATTTTGACCACAAGTACTTTTACCTAATGAGCCATCTTGTCAGCCTTTGTGTGATAATTTTATCTTTTCTTTTTCTTTTTTGCTTATGTTACTTAACAGAATTTGAAAAAAAGAAAAAAAAGAAAAGAAGAAATCTTGTGGTAAATGAGATAAGATCTTTGAGCCCTTTAAGTGGAACTATCACTGGCCACTGACGGTCACAGGACTGCAAAGCTAAATAGCAGATAATACACAGAAGGCATTGTTACCATGGTTTCTTTAAGCCTATATTTAAATATGAATGACATTTGCTTGTTTGAAATATTTTCTGTGTAGGGAGTGGCAGCAAACCCTATAATTCAACATTTGAAAGGCATGAGGGACAGGACTTCAGAACCTCCTTAGCTATGTTGTGAGTTCGAGACCAGCCTGACACTCTGAAACAAACAACAACAACAACCCCAAACCCCACCGGTAGACTAACAAGGTCACTCCATTTCAAAGAATATTCTTGACATGCAGGAGCTGCTGATGGTTCTCTAGAAGGGGCCACGCGGTGCTTTGGTGGTGCCAGTATAGCAGTGGGGAGGAACGGAGTCACAGGGGATAAACTTGACGCACCTTGGCTTTGTAGGGATAGGAAGCTTCTGACTCGATGCCCCCGTTATCGATGATGTACTGGAAAGCTTCGGTCATGAAGCCACCCCCACAGCCTTTATTCCCGTACTTTGCTTCGCTTGAGCAATCCACCAGGTTCTGAGCACTGAGGGACACCAGCTTCCCCGTTTTCAGCTTCAGCTGCCCTTCAAGGGCCCCCACGGCACTGAAAGCCCAGCAGGCACCACAAGAACCCTGAAACAGAGAAGAATCCATCTGGAGTCAGGATAGCTTCCGCTGTGCAGAAGACAGCTCCGCCTCTGCCAGGAAGAGCTCCCTCCCCACTGAGGCCTTTTCTCTTAGACAATTGGAAGGCAAATGGACTCCAGGCAAGGGCCTGCCCTGGTGGGGAGAGCAGCAGGTCATAGCAGGCATTTTGAATTCACTGATCGTGCACACTGAACATGTGCAAAGTTCCAACCATCTTCCCCTAAAAGGAAGACAGATGCCGCAAGGGTTAGGATTCAAACAGCTGAGGTGCCTATACCAAAGCGGGTCTGGCCACCAGGTTTTCCCAGCATCCCTCAGTCCTTACCTATTACAGGGTATGGCTTACATACCCTGCCCCTGCCCTAAACTTCCCCCAGCCCAGGCGCTGTTCTGCCCTTCCCCAGTTGTTCTTCCTCCCCTATATAATCCAGCCATTTTGGTTACCTGGCTCTTTTCCTGGGTCTTTTACTCTCCTGGCTCTCTCCTCTCTCCTTTTCTCTCTCCTCTCCTCACATGAGACAGTTCATGGTCATGTTCACTCTGGACTCTCCCAGATGTCCCTGCCTGTGGCTATGTTCTCCCTTTTATCTACAATAAACCTCCTCCACCACACTTAGGATCAGTTACATTCTTTCCTTTTCCTTTCTTCCTTTTCTCTCTTCTCTCTCTCTCTCTCTCTCTCTCTCTCTCTCTCTCTTTCTTTTTCATTCAACAGGAAAGTGATTTTTGAGAGACAGAATAACTCAGGGCCAATTGAGCCAGACAGGAAGGACAGAGAGAGAGGCACTTTCTTTTGTACTCTGTGACTCTGTGTCCTAAGGGCACATTGAATCTCATGTCAAAGAAAGGCACCTGAGTGCACAGATTGCACACAGTGCAGCCAGGACACGCTGCAAATGGTTTGCTGGTCAGGGTTAACACTACATATCCCAGGTGACACTGCACAAGGACTGCAAGGCTCAGTAGCCAGAAAACCTGCAAGCCAGCTACCTGAGAGGTAGTAAAGAGATGCTCAGGAGGCTTACACCAAGTGTCATAGCCAAGGCACACCACTTGGCCAGAGGCCAAGGCTAGTCTGTGAATGAAGTCCTTCCTTTCCACTCCTTAGGAAGCTGCCTAGAGATGAGATGTAAGGCAGATTTCTAGAATGTTCATCCAGTGGTTTGGCCTCTCAGAATAAAGTGCAACTTAAGGATTCCGTTCTTGTGGCTGGAGAGATGGCTCAGAGTACCTGCTGCTCTTGCAGTGGACCAAGTTTTGGTGCTCAATATCTACACAGTGGCTCACAGCCTTCTGTAACCTCAGTTCTAGGGATCTTCTTCTGACCACTTCTGACCTCTGCAGGCATTCCATGCATGTGGTACAAGCTAGCAAACGCACACACACACACACACACACACACACACATACAGCCAGAACACATGTATGCACATAATAAATAAATCTAAAAGTTTTAAAACTATTTAGTTCCTGTCTCTGCTCATTGACATTCGTGACAAGCATCCACAAACTCCAGTGTTGCTGTCTCAAAATGATGTCTGATGCAAAAATCTCTAACCATAGGGTAACCATTTTCAGACATTATTATCATAGAATAAAAAAGGAAAGACTTGTTTTATTATTATTTATTTATGTATAAGTACGTGTGCATGTATGTGCAGGCACCCACAGTGGCCAGTAGAGGTTGTTGGATCCCCTGAAGCTGGAGTTACGGGCAGTTGTGCGTTCCCTGTTATGGGTGCTGGGAACCAAACTTAGGTCTCCTGGAGGAAGAACAGCAGGAGCTCTCAGCCAGCATGGCTGTAGCACATGCCTTTAATCCCAACACTTGGGAGTCAGAGGTAGGCAGATCATAGATCTGGCTAGCCTGGTCTACAGAGTGAGTTTCAGGCTACACAGAGAAACCCTGTCTTGAAGACAGAGAGAAGGAGAGAGAGAGAGAGAGAGAGAGAGAGAGAGAGAGAGAGAGAGACAGAGACAGAGACACAGAGATAGACAGAGACAGAGAGAAAAATTTACAGGCTAAGTATGCAAAATATGGAGGGAGGAGGGAACTTAGTTTGGTCACACTATGAGTTTGGGGCCAGCCTGGGCTATGTATATAAGCCAAAATAAGTCATAAGTAAAACTAAACAAAAACAAATAACAACAAACCCCGTAGGATGTAGTTGGGCAGATGGGAATGACAAAGCAGCCAGGAAGTGACAACAGGACAGTGAGGCTCACTGCCAGAGTGTGCAGAGAGACAGGAAGAGGGTCCTCAGCCAGTGTGCACAGGCTAGGCCGGTGACACTAACCTGGTATTTCACGTCAGTGACACAGCCCTTCTCTCGCCAGTCCACAGAGTCAGGCAATGTCTGGTTAGAGCTTGACTTAAGAGTGCCAGTTTTCGGAGACTTGCTGGGAATTCTCAGAGAGCCCATCTGACGCATGATTTCTTCAGTGGTCTAAAAAGCAAATAAACATCACGTCTCACTTAGAGCTTTAATTTTTCCTTCCTTCCTCCCCCCTCCCTTCCTCCTTTCCTTCCTTCCTTTCTCCCTTTCTTGTGCATGTGTGTGTGTGTGTTAAGATTTATTTATTTTGTATATTTATATGAGTACACTGTAGCTGTCTTCAGACACACCAGAAGAGGGCATCAGATCCCATTACAGATGGTTGTGAGCCACCATGTGGTTTCTGGGAATTGAACTCAGGACCTCTGGAAGAGCAGTCAGTGCTCTTAACCACTGAGCCATCTCTCCAGCTCTGTGCATGTGTTTATGGCAGCTGGTTACCATGGCTCTCATGTGGAAGTCAGAAAACAACTTGCAGGAATCAGTTTGCTCCTTCTATCATGTTGGTCCCAGGGATTGAACTCATGTTGTCAGGCTTAGCAGCAAGGGCCTTTACCTGGTGAGCTATTTTGCTGGTTGGCCCCCATCTGTCTTTCTACCTCTTTCTCTCTCTCTTTCTAAGAAGAGAGAACATGAATAGATTTTAAAACTAAAAAAAAACAAAAAAAAAAAAACAAAACAAAACAAAACAAAAAAACGAGTGGCAGTTGTACCCACATAATTATAAATTGACTGCAAGGTGAACTGTCTGTCTGTGAGAGCTGTCTGAGGTGACTGTGGGTGCTGACTGAGGTGACAGTCTGTAGGAGGTGTCTGAGGCGACTATTTGTGGGAGCTTTCTGAGGTGACTCTTTGTGGGAGTTGTCTGAGGTGACTGAGGGCGCTGTCTGAGGCAACTGAGGGCACTGTCTGAGGTGACTGAGGGCGCTGTCTGAGGTGACTGAGGGCACTGTCTGAGGTGACTGAGGGCGCTGTCTGAGGCGACTGAGGGCGCTGTCTGAGGTGACTGTGGGAGCTGTCTGAGGTGACTGAGGGCGCTGTCTGAGGTGACTGTGGGTGCTGACTGAGATGAGCTCTGTGTGTCTCTTTAATCTTGCACTTTTCATTAGCAACATAGTTTAAACAGAGGGAAGGAGAAATAGAACATGGTAAAAACTAGAAGTTACAGACTTTTGATTGAAAGAAAGGCAGACTCTTACAAAGCAAGCTTGTAAGGCAAGTACAGCTGCTTTCCCTCAGAGAACTACAGAGGGCACTGTTACATTTAAATAGAAAGTGGTTTCCAAGGATGGTCCTTTTCCAAACCAGCTAGAATTATTTTTCCTTATTATTTTTAATTTTTTGCCTCTGTGTATGTGCGTGCGTGCATGTGTGTGTGTGTGTGTGTGTGTGTGCATTGTAAACCTGGGTATATAGAGTCTCCTGTGTCAGTTTGATCTACACTGGCTGCCAGCAAGCTGCCAGGATATCCTTGTCTCCACACCCCTGCTCAGCAAGCCTGGGCCATTTCTCCATGCTTGGATTTTGTCTTTATTTTTAAAGTAAAGTGATTCTTAATTTTGGCAACATTATAGATTTTTGATTGTGTAGATCAGAACTCAAAAACCAACGAGGAGGACCTGGGATGCAACTGGCAGAGATCATTCTGAATGCGTAGGCCTCTCGAGGAACACATAAGAAAGATAGACCAAGTTCCCACATGTTCCAGTAAGAAAGGAGAGGGCTGTATCCACGTGCCAGTGTACACCTGGGCAAACATGGTTACTACCATAAAGACTTAAAAGGTGCTTTCTAAAATTTATTTTAAAATATGAGAACAATACTATTTTATAAGTTTAATTTCCTGAAAATAAGAGATTTGGTAGGTGGGATATGTGGGCAGACCTGTGATCCCTGGCATTCTGGAGGTGGAGGTAGGAGAAGAAAGTCACTCTCAGTCACAAGGACTGTTCCGGCCATCATGTACAAGACAAAGTCAGACAGGGAGGAGAGGAGAGGGGAGAGGCGAGGGGTTTTGTTTTATGTTTTTTTTGTTTTTGTTTTTGTTTTTTTTAAATATGGCCAAAGTAGGACTAAATAAGAAGTTCTCACTGTGTTTATTTATTTAACATGTGGGCATCCTCAACACCACTGCACACATGGTGGCCAACCGATACCTGTAGGAAGTCTGTTCTTCTTGCATCACGTGAGGCTAAGGGGTCAGACTCAGGCGGCAGGCTGACCCACATCTTTTCTTTTCCTTTTAAAAAATATGTATTCATTTTTGTATATTGGTGTTTTGTCTGCATTTATCTCTGCACACCAGCAGAGGAGCCCATGGAATTACAGTTACAGACAGTTGTGAGCTATCACATGGGTGCTGGGAACAGAACTCAGGACCTCTGCAAGAGCAGCCAGAACTACTAGCCTTTGAGCCATCTCCCCAGGCTCCTTTCTTTTTCTAAACAAGAAATTTGTCTCCTGATTCTTAGGCCCCTAAGTTCTACTGCTTTTTAGCTTTGTGGGCCTATAAGTCCACTCAGCGCTCTGTTTAAGGTGGAGCTGGAGCCAGGGAGCAAGCTGAGGGCTCTGCACCCATGGGAGACGAGTACTCTGCCCCTGACCCATATTCCAGCCCTGGCTACACAGTGTCCTTTGCCTTTGTTGTTGACATCCCAGTGTACCTTCAAATTACTTCTGATGACACAAAAATTATACTTGCCTGTGGGGCGGTGGACTGTGCCACCAGGCAAAAAACTTGGTAAGGCTGAGCGGATTCAGGAACTCCGGCAAATCTCCTAATTGAGAATGGTAGGGGTTTAAATCTACTCCTGACCAGGTTCCTGTCCTGGAACATGTGACCATGACCCCCCATTATGAGTACTATGACAGTCAGTCATGCAGGGACAACATCTTAGGTCCTTCTACATGCCCATGAGGCATCCCTAACATCTCAGACCAAGCCAAAGAAAGCATTTGCCTTTAGATCCCACCCCACCTCAAAATGTTTATAAGGTCCTATCCATAAGGAATAATGTGCATGAGGCATTTCACCGAAGATCTTCTGAGAGCGCCTGTCAGATTGGGCAGTGACACTCCAGGGAAGAGTATTCTCTCCTGAGGCTTTCAGCTGGACTTGGACCTGGCCCAACAGCTGGGTGCTTGAGCCTACCACAGTCACCTCCTGCTCCATGGCCCCCACCTTGGCCCCTATCCAGGTGGAAGAGGCCCAGCAATCCGCCTTGCTCCGGATCCCCCTTGGAAAGCTGCACCTCTTTGGCCGCTCCGGCTGGTCCAGAGCTCCACAGGTCCTTGAGGACAGCGCCGTGTATGCAGCCTGGCACTTGCCCACTCGTGAAATAAGGATTGCTTGTGGTTTACCTACCATGTCTCCCATATGGTTCATGCCCACATCGTATGTATGCATGCCCATAGAATATTCCAGATTGTGAATCGTGATAAACTTCAGATTCTTTTCCCAGATGAGACGTCGTGCTGCTTCTTCATTCTGAAACATAAGGAAAAGGAATATAAGTGAACTTACTGATTTCAGTAACCGCTCCCTCATGTGTGTATGTGTGGGCATGTGAACGCAGGTATCCACAGAGGCCAGAAGAGCCCGTGGAGCTAGATGGTTTGTGAGTCACCCAAACCTGAGTCTTCTGCAAGAGCGGTAGGTGCTCTTAACTGCTGAGCCATCTCTCTAGTGCCCCAAATAGTATTCTACTAAATGTGGATCTGACTGAAAATATACACAAATGAATACATACAAAACAACTGCTAAAATCACATTTTAATTAAAATTATTGCTTTTAATTTTTAGATACTTATTAATATATGATATACACAATGACTTTCCTTCTCTTTTTTTCTTTGTTGTGTGTTGTGGATAGCCCCGGCCTTGTATTTTGATACTAATTCCCCTTTCCTGTGAAGGGCTACAGAGGAGGTGTGAATTATTACACAGGTGATTTCTAGTGAACCTTCTGCCCATCTTAATTTGTAAAATAAAGGCTGGAGCCAGTGACTGGGCAGAAGAAGGGGAGGTGGAGAAATAAAGGTTGGTGGAAGAGAGCAGAGGGGAGGACTGGAGGAAGACAATGGAGGAGGAAGATGAGGAGAGGATGACTGGGAAGCAGGAGGTAGAAGGACAGATGCAGGGTCTGGAAAACCCTCAAGTTATAAGGGTCTCATAGCTGGGGAACAGAGTAGTATAGGGGTATCTGCCCAATCTAGACTTACAGAATATATTCATAATTACTGAGTTGTGTTTTCATTGACCGGTCATATTTGAGTTGGAGATTTAAATAACTCCCACAACAGTTGTGAATTTGATTCTTAAACCTCCAAATGTTAGAAGCTTGTGTTTGACACATTTTCCCTAATAGGCAATAAGCTCTAATCTTTCTAGATCTTTCTTTCTTTCTCTCTCTCTTTCTCTCTCTCTTTTTCTTTCTCTCTTTCTTTCTTTCTTTCTTTCTTTCTTTCTTTCTTTCTTTCTTTCTTTCTTAGACATAGACTTGTTATGTATCCTTGGCTGTCCTAATAACTCACTCTGTAGCTCAGGCTGGCCTCAAACTCACAGCAATCCCCCTACCTCAGCTCCAGCATACTCCTCACACCTAGCTATGTAGATATCCATAAGATTCTTTCTCATTCCAGAAAATCAATTCAGCTAACTATAAATTTCTGCTTCTCTGGCTACTTGAGGTTGTTTTTCCATTTTCTTCTCATACTCATTTGTCCTCATTTAGGGAATCTGGTTCTATGATGAAACACCATGACCAAAACAACCTGGGAAGGAAAGAGTTTATTTGGTTTGAGCTTCCATATCACTGTCCATCACTGAAGGGAAAGTCGGGACAGAAACTCAAACAGGGCAGGAACATGGAGGCAGGAACTGATGCAGAAGCCACTACAGTCCAGGGATGGCACTACCCACAATGCACTGGGCCCTCCCCATCAATCACCAATTAAGAAAATGCACTATGGGTTTGACTGCAGCCTAATTTTATGGAGGAATTTTCTCAGTTGAGGCTCCCTTCTCTCCGATGACTGTAGCTTGTGTTACTTTGACATAAAACTAACCAGCACACCATTAGTGCAAATCAGAATTTTAGCTACTATACTTCTGACTTTCACTTTGATTGATTTTTTTTTTTTTGAGACAAGATCTCATGTAGTTCAGGCTGTCCTTGAAACTCTTATCCTTCTGCTTCCCCACCTGAGTGCTAATATGACCGGCTGCGTGTCCAAATCCTCCTGTCGCTGCTACTGATCATTCCTATACTTGCCCAGGTTGCCCAGGTTGCCCAGGTTGCCCAGGTTGCCCAGGTTACCTCAGACTTGCTTTGTAGCTCAAGCTGGCTGTACCCTCTTATGCCTCCTACTCTGTGCTGGGATTCTGTGGGTATTTTACCACACCAGGCTCTGTACCTCTCTTCTTAACTGTGCTCACTAGCTTTTGTGATTTTCTTTTTCTTAAAAGTCTTGCAGTTTCCTCATGTGTGTCTGGATGTGGATTTTTACACGTTTTTCCTTCAGCTTGGTTTGATGACTTGGGAACCCTTCTATAACTGAAAGTCTCCAGCTTTTGTTTGCATAGACTCTGCTCCATTTTATTTCTGTACAATGCTTTCTGTGTGGATGTCTCAGTGGTATTTTCAAGATTATTGATTTAGGGCTGGAGGGTGGTTCAGTGGTTAAGAACACAAGAACACCTCCTATTCTTTTTTCTTTTTTCTTTTTTTTTTTTTTTGTTTTTCGAGACAGGGTTTCTCTGTGTAGCCCTAGCTGTCCTGGAACTCACTCTGTAGACCAGGCTAGCCTCGAACTCTCGAACTCAGAAATCAGCCTGCCTCTGCCTCCCAAGTGCTGGGATTAAAGGTGTGGGCCACCACCGCCCGGCAAACACATCCTACTCTTGCAGAGGACTTCTAGTACCCACATGGTAGCTCACTGTTTGTGACTCTAGTTCCTAGGAATCCAGTATCTCTTCTGACATTCACAGGCTCCTGCATGTATATAGTGCAATACATTCAGTCACACATATATACAAACTTTTAAAAAATGATTATTGATTCAATGACTTTTTTGAGCAATTCCGATTTATTTTAGTTTACATCGATATGGTTGCTCTTTCTTTCTATACTCTTTTGTTTTAGTTTTTGATTTTTAGTTTATGACAGGTTCCACACAGCTGGGGCTGGCCTTATATTTACTGTGGATGGCTCTCTCTTATGCCTCTGTCTCTACCTGCCTCTACCTGTATTACAGGTGTGTGTTACCATGCCTGGTGGAAGACAATCATTTGGGTTCTGCTATTTTAATATTATGTAGAATTAATTATGATATTGACTATTGATTTTCTTGTCCTCTCAGAGATGCACTTACATAGAATACAGTATACATGATATACTCAGTGCCTCCATTAATAGCTGAAACCTTTCAAGGTCAACCAAATCAGACTCAGGCCTGAGCAGTTGCAACATGTGCCCTGCTTCAGTCTGGACAGAGCCCCGCTCCCTGTGTACAAGTTTTGTAATATTCCTAGTAATGGACGGAATGGGCGCATGGTGAACGCATCCCAAACTCTAGAGGAGGAAAGTGGGATAAGAGAAAGTAAATCTAAATAAACTCAAGGAAAGAAAAGTGAATAAGTTAATTTGGAGATAAGTTATTAAGATAAAATACTTGTTAAAAGTTGTGTTTATGAGCTGGGGAGATGTCTCAGTCAGTAAGCCCTTGTTGCTGAAGCAGGAGAACCTAGCTTTATATCCACAGCACACACAGGAGAACCTAGCTTTATATTCACAGTACCCACACAGCTGCATAAAAATACTTTCCATCAGGGAAGTGAAGGCTAAGGGCAACTGTCTGTGAGGAAACCAAGAGGGATGAGGTCCCAGGCTTCCCAAGAACGCAAACATCCTTGGATGCTCAGATTCCTTAAGTGGCATAAACTGAATGTAATGGCTCACACTCAGGGGATGGCAGCAGGAGGATGTCTGGGAGTTACAGTCACCGGGACTTCACAGTGAGTATTACACCAGCTTAAGATACACACTGAGGGGGCTGGGGAGATGGCTCAGTGGTTAAGAGCGCTGACTGCTCTTCCAGAGGAACTAGGTTCTATTCCCAGCAACCACATGGCAAATCACAGCCATTTATAACACCAGTTCCAGGGGACCTGATGTCTTCTTCTGACCTCTGTGGGCACCACATCCACATTGTACAGAGCCATACATGCAGTCAAAACAGTCATTGCATAAAGTAAAAAAAAATAATTCACAAAAGACATACAGTGACGCCCTATCTCCAAAAGTCATCAAAAGTGAAGTATTTTTATATAATTTACCTACCTACATGCATAGATACACATACACTTCAATTTATTTATAGATTATTTATATAATATAATATGGTTGCTATATTGTTTTGTGTAGGGGATGTTAAGAAAAAGAAAACAGTCCAGTCTATGTGGCTGGAGAGAGAGAGAGAGCTCAGAGTTTAAAAGCATACACTGCTCTTGCAGTGGACACATGTCCTGTTCTGTTGCAGCACTGATGTTGGTGATATAACTCTACACACCTCTAACACTAGCTCCAGGGGATTCCATGCCCTCTCCTCACCTTCTCAGATACCTGCATTCACGTACACCCACCTATACATAGATACACACAGATGTAAATTTTTAACATCTACTTGTGTTTAGGTTAGATGTGTTTGTTTTGTTTAATCTTTAGCATTTAGTGGTATGTGCTTGTATGCATGTGGTGTGTGTGTGTGTGTGTGTGTGTGTACACATGTGTGTATGCCTAGAGCACATGGTGGAGGTCAGAGGACAACCCTGTGGAGTTGTTTCTCTCTCTCCACCATGAGATCTGGTGATCCAGCTCACAGAATCTGGCTTGGTGGGAAGTGTCTTCACCTGCTGACCCATATTGCCAGCCCCTCCCTTTTGAGACAGGGTCTGATGCTCCTTAGGCTGGCCTCAAACTCACTAAGTCACTACATAGCTAAGTATAATCTAGAGCTCTGACTCTTCTGTCTCTACTTCCTGAGTACTTGGGACTGCAGGTCTGTGCTACCTTGCCCTGCTACAAAGAATATTTTAAATCCATCACTTGTTGAAACCATAGATACAGAACGTGTAGGTCTGCAGAGCAGCTGTATGCTAAAAACTATAAAACCATGGCAAAATAAATTCAGAGTGATGGACTGCTTTTATTCAGGGATTGGAAAAATTAGATCAGTGAAACAGCCAAACTATTAAAAAACAATCTAGAGACTCGGTGTAATTCCTGTCAAAATTCCAATAGCATTCTTCACGAACACAGAACAATCTGGAAAGTTTATGTGGAGCTACAATAACCTCAAACTTCCAACAAGTCTTGAGCAATATAAACAAAAGTGGAGGTATCAAATACCTCATCTCAAAAGGCACCACAGGCCACAGTGCCAGTGCACACAGGCCTAAGAGTGTTCTACAACAGAGAACCCAGAGACAAGCAGGGATTTATGGCCAGTTGAGTTTTTGCAAAGATGCCAAAAACATAGAAATGGAAAGAATGACCTCCTCACTCTAATAGTGTGGGAATCTTGATTCATATGGAGAAGAATAAAACTGAGTCCTTACCTGGTACAAAAGAATCACTCGCAATTGATTGAAAATTAAAAACAGGAGGTGACATGGCTCAGCGGGCAAAGGCACCTACAGCCAAGCATGACGACCTGGAACCCACATGGTGGAAGGCAAGAATTCCCCCAAGCTATAGTGTGTGTGTGTGTGTGTGTGTGTGTGTGTGTGTGTGTGTGTGAAAACACACAGAAAATATACCAATAAAAATGACAACATAAGCTGAGCGGTGGTGGCACATGCCTTTAATCCTAGCACTTGGGAGGCAGACACAGGTGGATTTCTGAGTTCGAGGCCAGCCTGGTCTACAGAGTGAGTTCCAGGACAGCCAGGGCTATACAGGGAAACCCTGTCTCGAAAAACTAAAAAAAAAAAAAAAAAAGACAACATAAGTCCAGTGTGATGGCATATACCTTTAATCCCAGCACTTTGAAGGCAGGGCAGAGGGATCTCTGTTAATTCAAGGCCAGTCTGATCTACAGAGTGAGTTCCAGGACAGCCAGAGCTATGTAGAGACTCTCTCTCTCTCTCTCTCTCTCTCTCTCTCTCTCTCTCTCACACACACACACACACACATTTTTTAAAAGAAAAACAACAACAACCTGGGTTTGAGAGATGGGTCAGCAATTAAGAGCACTTACTGCTCTTGCAAAGGACCTGAGTTCAGTTCCCAGCTGGCACTGGGTGCCAGCTGCTGCTTATAATACAGATGCAGGGGATGCAATGCTCTCTTCTAGCCTCTGCTGGTATCCACATATGCCTGTGCCTACTCAAACACGCACACATTGACACACGCCATAAATACATGTAGGGGAGTGTTTCTGATGCTTTGATCGGGAATCTGTGTTAATGACACTGAAGGTTCTCTCTCCCAATTGTTTTTTGATCTATCAATAAAGATGCCAGTGGCCAATGACTGGGAGGAAAGAAAGAGATGGAACTTGCAGTTTTCCGAGGGCGAGGAGAGAGGAAGAGGAGAATTGAGATACTGGTGTGTGGGTGGGGAGACCGGACAGATTCAGAGCTACAGGGAAAATGTAGGCGGAAAGGGAAAGCAGCCCGGAAGCATCTTGGGCTGTAAGGCCAATGGGCTTCACAGAAGGTAACCGGGCGACTAAGCTGAGAGCAGGTTTAGAGGCGTTGAGCTGGGACTGAAGGTGAGGGCGTGATAGCCACAGGAGGCTTAGAAGTGCCCAGATGTTGAGCTAAAAAGCATATTAAAGATAAGCTAATGTGTGTGTGTGTTTTATCTGAGGATCCTAGATAGCTCCTAGGCTGGTGCACATGTGTGTCCAGCCAGGAGCACAAAGCCATGTAGACAAAACTACATGCTACATGTACAAATAAAACAAATAAGTGAATAAGAAGACTTAAAACATAGAGGGCTGGAAGAATAGGCTTAGTGGTACTCTCTCTCCTCTCTCTCTCTCTCTCTCTCTCTCTCTCTCTTTCTCTCTCTCTCTCTCTCTCTCTCTCTCACACACACACACACACACACACACCACATGCACACACATGTGCACATATGCACACACAATTCACAATCATATATAAACGAACAAATAAATGTAAGTCAGATAATCTAGTCGACTAAAAGCAAGCCTCCCATACGGTCGAGCAGCTCACCCCATTCTGGATAAACAACTAAACGAAACAAATCAAGTCATGGGAGAGATTCCCGCTGTCCTGTGTTCACTGCAGCACCACTCAAAATGACGAAGATAAAGAATCAAATGATGCATCTTATCAAGGTAAAGAAACAAAGAGAACACGGTATATAAACACAATCTAATGCTAGTTAGCCTTTTACAAGGAGGAGTTCTGTCATATATAACGAGATAGGGGAACCTGAGCACATTATGCTGAATTGAGGCACAGAACACTTAGCCACAGAATCTCATCGATATTTTGCCAATATCTAATTCACCCAGGGTGCAGCACAGAGATTCCATCCACAGAGCCAATTAATTAATTATCTAATAGGTAAAATAATAAAATACAGCTGGGCGGTGGTGGTGCACGCCTTTAATCCCAGCACTTGGGAGGCCGAGGCAGGTGGATTTCTGAGTTCGAGGCCAGCCTGGTCTACAGAGTGAGTTCCAGGACAGCCAGAGATACACAGAGAAACCTTGTCTCAAAAAAACAAAAACAAAAAACAAAAACAAGAAACTCTGTGTTTGGAAACAACAACAACAACAAAAAGCCCAACGAACTACTCAAAAAACTAAAATTCTATCTTAAAGCACTTCTGTGGGCCAAAGACTGGACTGAGCTTTACAAATCTTATTTTTGCAAGTGGAGAGATGGGTCAATGGTTGTGAGCACTTGTTGCTCTACCAGAGGACCCAGGTTTGGTCCCAGCTCCCAGGTCAGTCAGCTCACAACCACCTGCTGTGGGCCTGGCCTGCACTCACATGCATGTATAGACACACAGACACATACTTAAAAATAAAATAAAATTGTATTTTTTTTGAGAGTTTGACTCAGTGATTAAGAGCACTTGTTGCTCTTGCAGAGGACCCAGGTTTGGTTCACAGTGTCCACATCCCACAAGGCGGGATGGGGCAGTTTACAACTACTCATAACTTCAGTTCTACGGGATCTAATGCTCTCTTCTGACCTGCAGGCGTGGGGTTGCAGGCCCGAAAGCTGAAGGCACGTAGTGTACCTATGTACATGCAGGCAAATCACTAGTACACATAACAAAATGAATAAATGGGGAGAAGGGACTGGGATGGAGGAATAGCTCAGAAAGTAAGAGCCCTGGTTGCTCTTACACAGAGGATCCAGGTTTGATTCCCAGCACCCACCTGGCAGCTGAGCTCAGATTTCAGGGGATCTGACACCCCCTTCTGTCCTTAGAAGGTACTGCACACATGGTACACAGACATACTTGTAGGCAAAACACTCATCCACATATTTTGTATATGTCTATTTTTATATGTCTCTCTCTGTGGAGTATGTGTGTGTGTGTGTGTGTGTGTGTGTGTATTAGTGTGAGTGCTGGTGCAAGCAGTGTTTAGGTGGAGGTCCCAGGTCTTCCCCTTCCATACTTTGAAATGGGGTCTCTTGTTTGGCCCTTCATGTGCCAAGCTGGATGGCTCACAAGCTGTTTCTCTACCTCAAGTTAGGACACGCTACTCCACCCACATGGGTGTCAGAGGCCTGAGCACAGTTCCTCATATCTATGTCCAGTACTTTACCCACTCTGCCACCTCCACAGCCAAGGGTTTCTGTTCCTCAAATGTGCCAAGTGTGGTCTTTCTTCTGAGTCCTGTATGTGTTCCTTGGCCCAGGACAGTCCCCCCTTCCACCCATTTTGTCTATTGCCCTTTCTATGAGTCCTCTGCTCTAATGTTGCCTTATTTGCTGGGCTTTCCCTCACCCTCCCACCACATCCCTGGTAGGATGCATCACCACTATGTCCCCACATCATCCATGCCTTGCTTCACCTGTTCCTTGCATCCATCACCATCCCACTGTAACACTGGCACCGTAACATGAGCTCCATAGCAACGAGAATGTGCTCTGCTTCTACTCAAAGCAGTGTCTACCCAGAAATAAGTGCACAATACATCTAGAAAATACTGCTTGTTCAAATGTCACCTGGGGATGGGGAAGGCGGGACACTGCAAAAGCACACTGCTCGGGTGGCAATCACCTACCTTATCCTTGTATTCTCTCTCATGTGTTTTCTTCCAGAGATCCCAGTGGTAGTCCAGGGTAGGCTCTCTCTGCAGTTGCTCCATTGCTACAGAGCACACCAGGGGCACCCAAAACAGCCATCTCCTTCTGCTTAAGGGAAGGGCACAGAGGAAACATAGCCGTTAGTTGTATGTATTTTGATCACATAGTTCTCTTTTGTTTGTTTTTATTTATAAAGATATGTCACTCTGCAGCCATGGCTATCCTGGACCTCGCCACACAGCCCAGGCTACCCTTGAATTTGTAGCAATCTGCCTGAATCCAAATCCCAAGTGCTGAGACTACGGGTACAGGTGTGCACCCACCACCATGGATGTTGCAATGTGTCCTCAAAAGTCTTCTCAAAAGAAAGGAACAGTTCTGCAAGTTAGTGAGACAGGTAACTTCCTGCAATGTTCAGGATGAAGAAGGAATTAAGTCCAAAATACTATAGTAGTTCTTTTAATACTTTAAGAAAGACTCTTCAGCTGGACATATGCTTTTAATCCCAGAATTCAGGAGGCAGAACCAGGTGGATCGCTGAGCATTCATGGGCTAGCCTGGTCTACGTAGTGAGTTCCAGGACAGCTAGAGCTATGTAGACAGATACTGTCTGAACTACTACTACTACTACTACTTCCAGAAAATTTCCTAATGGGGCTGGAGAGATGGCTCAGTGGTTAAGAGGCTGCTCTTGCAGAGGACCTAGGTTTGAGTCCCAGCCCTCATAGTGCAGCAACCACCTTTCTGTGGCTTTAGTTCCAGAGAAAGCTGTTGCATTCTTTCTGCTCTCCATGGACACTGCATGCATTTGATGCACATACACACATACTAGCAAAACACCCATGAACATAAAACAAAATAAAACTTAAAAAAGTTTTGTTTTCCCAAACATAGTTGCAAAGATAAAATTAAGGATTTTTTTTTAAATGAATCTACTTAAGGAATATTCTCCTTCCCCTTTCTTTCTTTCTTTCTTTCTTTCTTTCTTTCTTTCTTTCTTTCTT